CTTGCCCATTTTGAGGATAGCATGTACTTTCTGTGAATGGTGGCAGAGTTCTGGTTTATGCTGAGTAAGTATGAATCATGCATGAGGTGGGGGTTTTTAATATTTACGTATACTCATTCTGATAGTTACTGGCCATAATATGTTTAAGAAGATAAACAGGTATGTTATGGTTAAGGCAAAGACTCAATTATTTATTTACAATAGGTGAAGAAACAACAGAGCTGAAAAGATAGTTTAGTGATGGGGTAGTTCTTGTGGGTGCCTCACGTAGAGCACATGAATACTGAAGGGTAGCACAGATCACTGTTTATTTCATATACCAAAGGAAGGGGAAAACAATACATTTTTTTTTAAACTTCATTATGTATCAGCAGCCTAGGACAAAGCAACTCCATTTTGAATAATGCATCTTCGCATCTTTCACATGATCATCAGACATATAGAGTTAAGCTCAATACAGCTGTACTTACATCTTGCTGCAAATCAATGACCAACTCAGCAGAGCGGCTCCCATTAAAAGAAAATTATTGATATTACAAAAAGACATAAATATTGAGGGTAATGCTGCAGAAAGCAGTGTCTCTTTCAGGAAAGAAACAGTGAGTCAAGCTAGAAATGGGCTCAAATCTTGGACAACAAGAATAGGATCTCAGTGGAAGCCTCTCTCTACATAAAACAACTTTAAGGTTTATGTAGAGAAAAAAAGGAAGACGTAATAGGTAAAGCTATGTGCTTACCTTCTCTGTGTTCCCTCCTTTTCAGAGTAAGGACTGAATTTTGCCTGCAGATCAGAGAGAGTCCACATCTTCTACTTCATACTGGTATTGTGTTCAGGAACTTTAAAGTAGGATATAGGCTGCTTGGAGTTCCTCTGTTTTTTATCACTTAAAATACAGAAAGACAGGTTAAGATACTCGCTTCTAAAGAAAAGTTAGCCATCAGATTTAGAATAGCTGCAAACAGGCTTACATGTCCTGGCCTTTGTGCTTTGTCCAGGCACTCACCCAGCAGAAACTCTTGCCAGCTGCTCAGGTGCTTGGTTTCATAACACTCATGGCATAAAAGGCTGGACACAGTGTCAACATTCTTTTTGTTCCTAGGACTTTCCTACCAGTTGACTAAGCTTTGGCTCTTGTGCTTTCTGTAGGCATTACTGGTTCTCCCAAAGATTGAGTCACAGCACACTTTACCCTACTAAGAGCCATCCTTGCTGACATTACCCTTCAGCATAAGATGGCACATCCTTATTTCACAAAACCTGTGTGAACAGAAGCCCTCCCCAAGCCGTGGGCCCAGTGCGTTGCTTCCATTAGAAGGAGATTGTTGGCTGCCAGCTCAGACCTCAGACCTGTCTCTTATTCTGCCTGAATAAGTTAGTAGAGCTGCAGCAATTATGGATGCATGTGATCTTAATGTGTCGCAAACACATGGTAAAAACGCAGCAGCATGAAATGTATTTGCTGATCAACAGAGTTGCACAGTTAGGTCTCTGAGCGTAGAGCCTGGTTTTGTTTTCTTTTTCATGCAAGCAGATTTATTTAGTAAAATGTACCAAAAAATGCTTATCCTCAAAACAATCAACATGAAATGGGACTTTGTTTCTTTTTTCATTATTTCAGCTGATGTTTAGTCCAGAAAGCTTTCTAGACTGTTATTTGTTTCACATTTATTTTACCCGTCTCCTTTTTCTTTTCTTTCACTGTGTCTTTTGTTTTGTTTTGTTTTGTTTTGTTTATGTCATGACACTTGCATGTTCTAGCAGTGAGTACCTGCACTGACTACAGCAAATGGAGATTTCACAATAAAAAGTGTGTAGAGACAGTTCTGGTTGTATTGTCAGTTGTCAATGACTGTAGGAAAGACATTGCACTGGAAACTGTGAGTAGGGAGATAATAGGAAAGAATGGTCTATGGGTTTAAATAATGAATGAATGAGAGTTCAGTGTTAAATGGCATTCTCAGACAAGCAACTAGGTTGTTAAAAGGATGATGATATTATAACCTTTAGCAAGCACCAGAGGCAGTATCTGGAGATGGGATTAATATCACAGAATCACAGAATTGTCCAGGTTGGAAAAGACCTCGAAGATCATCCAGTCCAATCATCAACCCAACATTAACAGTTCTCAACTACACCAGATCCCTCAGTGCTAAATCGACCTTTTTTTGGGGACCTACTTTGAGTGTAGAACAGCTGCTACAGTAAAATAGTTAACTACCCAGTATAAGTTCTGTAAGTATAAAGCTCGTCTTGACAACAAGTAGTGTGTGTTAACAATAACTGTGCTGTTGTTGACACATTCTGTATCTTGAGCAGATGTGCCCTGGATGTAAGGGATGGATCTCAACTCAGAAGGGGAAGGATGATGTTTGCACTGTCGCACATCTGATTTTCAGGAGCTTTGTCACCACCACCTCAATTCTGGAAAGGTTTGGGACATCACAGGCACTGGTTTTGTCTTACAGAGTTTCTGTCAATATATTTCTAAATCTTGACTTTGTGTAACTATTTTTTAAAACTACAATTGTTCAGGTGATACTACCATTACCATATAAGCTGGTAATGCTAAAGTGCTACTACCTCAAGGTAGAAACACTTCATGTCTGCAAGAAAGATCTCAAAGTGCTACTGAACAGTTAGGGGAAATTAGGAGGTTATGTAGTTCACCCAGTGTCACACATTAAACTGAAACAGAGGCAAAATACTGAAATCCCAGTCTTTCATCCCTGGGACTTGTGTGCAAATCTGAAGACCATTCTATACCTGTGATTACAGGCAAATCAGAAAAAAAAAACCCCAACCCCAAAAAAACTAGCCTGCTTTGAGTTACTGTATTATTTAATTGCTGGTAGGGAAACTCTGAGAACTTATAAGCATGGTCTGTGACCTGAAACATCAGTGTTTTACTAAATGGGTTCTTGCTAGTATTGCAAATGTCAGTGTCTTAATTTCATGATTCATGATGGCTGCTGCCCAGCACTGGCAATCATGACATGTCCCCTGGGAGCAAAAAGCAAACAGAACTTACTAGCTCTGGTGATCTCCTAGCAAGGCACATGGGCTGTGTGTGCCTGCTGGGTGGCCAGAGGAGTGAGGTGGCCCCACAGGAAAGCTGTCCTGACTAATCAAACCCACCCCTCTTAGCAAGATGGTTCTGGGCATTTCCAGAGACAGCCACTTCTGATGGATTCCTCTAATCATTAGCACCAGCCACTTCCACAACATAAAGTGGTGTGCAAATAGAAAAGATAACCAGCCTGCTCAGTCACCATCACCCCATAAAACAGTGCTGAGCACGTTTCCTCACTGTGCACCATTAACCCCTCAGCCATAGCTGCTACCACCTCCTGAAGCCAGTGGGGGCTGCAGGACTCCACTGCCCAGGTGCCAGGGGGAGCATTTGCTTGGGGCTGCTGGGCCTCAGCAGCTCTGCCGCACCTTGGAGAACAAGCTTGTCTTCCCACAAGCAGTGGCAAAGCCTGCCAAGCCAGCTCGTCCGTGGCTCTGCAATTGCTAGATGTGACACCAGATGAGGGGAGGCAGGATTGTACCCTTTCAGCAGCATTTTACCACTACCTGCTGCTGACAGCCATAACGTCAGATCGTGAGCACGTGTGCTGTGCTTTTGCTTCAGCTCTGTCAGGACAACCATGGTCTTGTCCCTACCAACCTGTTGTCTTCCCTTTGCCCCTCCAGGGCAGGGGGGGACCCTAACTGAGGGACCCTATGCAGAGTTGTTTGTTTCCAGTTTGCCCAGCTTGCAGACTTGGGTTTCCCGCAGGAGCAGGGAAGCACTGGTGCCTGCGAGGCAGTGGGAGCAACTGTGTACAGAGCTGGACCTCCACACTGGCAGCTTCTGGCCATTTGATCACCTCAGGCACAAAATGAAGCCATAGTCTAAACCGGTTTTAATCTGATTGTAGTTAACTCTTCTGAGAACTGACAAGTTACACTTAGGAAACAGAACTAGAAAGAGTGGGACAATTGGGTGCCTTGCACCAAACAGTCCCCAGCTGTGTTAACCCTAAAGGAATATTTGTAGAGTAACGTCAACCGAGACACAAACACCTCTGATTTAACCACAGCCCTTACAAAATCCTTTATCCCCTTTATAGTTCAGGAGAGAATAAAGCCCTTTAAAGAATTTTAATGGCTTAATGTTTAGCCCAACATCTTATTAAAATTGTGAAAACTAAGTAGCTTTAAGAAGAAGGAAGGAGCATTTCTGAACAGTGACTTCATGGTTATGCTCCTGAGGGTGAAAGTGGATGTTTGGCTGTACCAAACCCACAAGTTAATCCATTTAGTTGAAACAAAATGTTCAAATTCAGTTTCCTAATCTCATTCCCAGCACTGATCCTATTAGCATTTCTAAGGCAAGGCTTCTGGGGAGCAGGATGGGACCTCCATACCATCCCTGTAGTCCTTCTGGAAAGAGCATAGGCGTGGAAGAAAGCTTTTGATTTTCACCTCAAGTGCTTTAGCACTTCCACCGCCTGGGAGGGCTTATATCAGTATTGGTTGCCCTCCTCTCTCCTTGCATATTTTCTCCCAGCTGCCCAGCACTGGCAATCATGACATGTCCCCTGGGAGCAAAAAGCAAACAGAACTTATTAGCTCTGGTGATCTTCTAGCAAGGCACACAGTGTGGGCACAGCCTGATGGGCTGTGTGTGCCTGCTGGGTGGCCAGAGGAGTGAGGTGGCCCCACAGGAAAGCTGTCCTGACTAATCAAACCCACCCCTCTTAGCAAGATGGTTCCTGAATTTTCTCAGAGGATGTTGGAGGCTAGCAAGGTGTGCTGGTGCTATGGGTAAAGCACTGAGCAAATCCCTAATAAGTTCAGCTGGGCCTCACTATCATGAGCTCTGTGCTGCTCCTGCTGGAAGAGGTGTTGGTCTGAGGGTAGGAAAAGGCAGTTTTGGGAGCAAGATTTTGAGGAGACTCCTGAGGCATTGAGGCCTAATTATAAAAAATGGGTAAGATGTGTGGAGGGGAAACTAAAAAGGAAATAACCTACAGGAATTATAGGTTCCTTGGGTCTGAGATGTGACTGGACAAGGTTGTTGCTTGCATGAGGTTAGTAGGAATATATGTCCTTTCTCTAGGAGGTTTTTGCAAGCATAAAGTTTAGAAGTTGCTGAAGGACTGTTAGAGTTGACAGCTGAAATTTATTGAGAGGATAAGTGAGTTTGAGGCAGATTCTGATTAAGGCTCCAAATGCTGTGAAGTCATCAAGAGGAATTTATTGCACATGGGTAAAAAAAATAATTGAGCTTTCTCACAGATGAGCAGAACATGGAGAAGCAGAAAGTACTGGTCTTCTCTCCCCCTAGAAAAGCATTGCAGTAATCAAGGGGGTTGCTTTGGCAGGAAAGAGTAAAGAGATTCACAAGTGGAGAAACAATTCCCTGTTTTAGCATCAAAGTCTTCCAGTGAGCCCTGTAGGAGAGGAAAGTCTGCCTTGAGAGGAAGCAAATTAAACATTTGTCAACTGTGAAAAATACAGGAAAAACTACTGAGCTCTGCAACAGGACTGTCATCTCCACAGAGACAAGAAACCCCTGTACTGGGAGCTAAAGGGCTGTTCAAACATCTCCATTTCTCCAACTGTACTCAAGTGGACAGCAATAACTTTGCTATTGATAAATGCCTGCAAGTATCAGTATGTCTTATCCATCTGTAGAAAATCCTCAGAGGACCAGAGACTATGATGTCCTTTATTTGGTAAGTTTAATCTGTGAGGAGCAGTGAATTTGGCTGTAGTTAAAGAGCTGTGAGGAATCAGGTTTGACTCTCCTACTGTCAGTTGTGTAGTATAAGATCCTTTTAAATGGTTGAGCTCTCTGAGGTATCTTTGTTTCCATGCTGTGTTATGTGCACATATGTATATGTGTGTGTGGTCTTTCTTGCGTGTATTGCACAACTATGAAACATGGTTATTTAGCAGATTACCTCTTATGATTTCTTCCTATCCATTTTCTAAAAGAGCAGAGCAGTGATATACTAGGCAGAGCATAGTCAGAAGCTGTTTGTGCAGCACAAGGCAACTTGACATAGTTTTTTGGAGACTCCTTGTACCTTATTATGTGGTAAAATGAGTGCAGAAATGGAATCCTGATGGTCCTGAGCATTGCTCCTTAGTGCTGCCACCAACCCCACGCATATGTCAGGGTGGTTTCCCTTGAACCATGACATGTGGGGGGTTTTTGTCCAGATAAAAGGGTTGGATGTTTACAGTTTATGTTATTCAAACATAACACTGTTAATTAGAAATCATGGGAAACAGAGGAAGACCTGGTTACATCAATTATTAACATCAGAACCAAATTATGCTCTAATAATAAAACAGGTTGTACTATAAGCAGAGGAAATAATGAAGCATAGTTTCCAACAAGCACCTGAGGCTAAAACCCAAGTCTAGGGATAAAGGTGAGCAAAACTTAATTAAATCCATTAAACACCAGATAAAATACACTTGCAGCACCCAGAACAGGCACAGAGAAGTTGCCTTCGATGACTGGACTACAGCAGCACTCATCTTCCTCTGGTCCTTCTGGTCTGACAGAGGTTGGCAACACATTCCCACCTCAGAAGAGCTTGTAATCTGGTGGCACAACTTGAGAGGTGCAGGTTGAAATTCCCATGAGCAAGGAGGGGAATGGGAGCTTTGTGTCCTGTGGTCTCACTAAGTATGCTAAGCCCTAGACTGTTGTATATATAGAGCACCCTTCTCCATTTCTTTTCCCTCTGGCTGTGCTTCAAAAGAACTCATAGTCAAGGACTGTGAGTTGTGAAGATCCAGCATCCTGGAAGCATGCCTAGGACTTGGAATGCTGACCAAACTGGAGTCCTGGGAGCCCAGGCCAAGCAATACAGAGTTTCTGCATCATGATTCGGATGTGAGCTGCTTGGCTCTCTCAGAGCACTCCCAGGGATTATCGATACCTAAAAGTTTATAGGACAACTGAGCAGGAGGATTGCAATTTTAGACTGGAGTGTCTTAATCCCATTTCAAGCAGTTAAATGCTTTGGATATAGATACTAATATGACAGAAGAGGAAAAAAAAAGGAAGAAAGCTGTAAACAAATAATTGAATACAGATTCAGGGAGAAAGAGTGTTCATTTTTCTTTTGCTTCTTTAGATGTGTGGTGGGTGCTGGCTTTGTTATGTAGTTACCTATTAAAAAAAAAAAAAGTAACACTGAGTTCAGCAGCAGTGCTAATTACCTGCATAACCACATGACCCCTCTGGGCTAATGATAGTCCTAAACCCATGTTATCTTTTAATAGCTAAGCTGATTAAACTAGCACAGAGGAAAAACAAGTTAGAGAATTGCCTTCATGGTACTTCTCCTAGGAAAATTAAGGTGCTTTCCAAGCGTGCAAAGTGCATGTAACGTGTCATTTTCCAACCAGCCAAGATATAGCTGCCTAGTAACTACTGAGTTCACATTTCTGTGGAACTGTAGCACAGGACTGAAAGAGATGATAGAAACAGGCTGGATCACACAGGCAAACTTGTGAATACAGGGAATAGTCATCTATAATCAGGTGCATGTCATAGCAGCAGTTGCAATTTATTTTTGCCTTAAGCTTTCCTCTCCCTTTTATTTCTTTTCCTTCAATTCTACCAGAAAAGGGTGTGTCATCCCCCCAAACTGGTCAAGATGGAAACTTGTACAGGGTTTAAGTACTGCAACCTTAAGGCAAACTCTGGTTTTACCCCTTGTCCACTGGGTGGGAAGAAACAGAGGAAAGAGATCATGTTTCCCTGTTTAAAGGCCAGAAAGGACAGCTATGATGAGCTAGCCCATCCTTTGGTAGCTACTATGATTAAATGAGCACAGGAAAAATGAGGTAGAGAAATTATCTTCACAGTACTTCTAGGAAAATGAAGATGTTTTCTTTATCTTGGCCCCCTTCTCTTCCTATCTCTTCTAACTGGCTGTCTTCATAGTATGGTACATGTATGCAAACATGAGAAGCACTAGTCAAGTGGATTAAGTTCCTAAAACATGTACATGATTGCAGCCATGTAGTTCCAACATCTGAGACAGCGAATGCCTTGCAAAGACATCATGACCTGCTTGGGTGGTGCTGTTTGAACCTTTTTATGTTGAGAGACACAGCACACCAAAGACCATAACCTCAGAAGTATTTGCAAGTGTCTGTCTTCCAAGGACTCACAAAGGCATCAACAGGAGTTAGTACTTAGGCTTGAGAATCTAGGCCTAAATAATGTGCCTGAGGCTTCTGAAAAAAACCCTGGAATTAATTTTCTATCTGTCCAAGCCTTGTACCCAGGTAATAAGAGCATTTCTGCTTTTCTTGGGTTGTTACATTTTAAGAGATTTTTTTGTTTCAGTACTTTTTGTTAACCTCTCCTCCTATGTGACTGTATATAAGTACATGCGGGTTAAAATACATTTAAAATTAGATAATCTTAATAGCTGTATATGGTGTGTTAGAGGAACTGTGTGTACTTGGAGGATTTCTGTCAGGCTTTCAAGGCTCAGTTTTATTCCTGCTGTATTACTTGGCTTTGTTTGTACATTGATGTAGTGTCAATTTTCAAATCCTACACCACCCCCCAGGCAGAAATAGGTGACCTACTTTTCAGCCCTGACATCTGTTAACTGTAGCCCATGCCTCCCTCTGTACTTTAACCCCTCCCTCCCTTCCTGCAGAGCATTTGCAGTCTCCCAGCCCTTCCAGGGAGCTGCTTAGAGCTGGGGAGACCCCTCCACAGCGACAGGCAGATAATCCAGAAGGCAATGCTGGAGCAGGAGTGCACACATGACATCAGAGAGGGTTGCCACTGTGCCACAGAAGGTCACCCCAAAGCCATCCAGGCCCAGGTACCTTCTAAAAAGTCCTGGGGTACCTCACCTTCCCCTCATGCTGGTGACTAAGCCAGGCCTCCTGCTTCTGGACCTGCAGCATCACTGGACAAATTTCCCTGGGGGATCTGAATGCAGCCCTTTGGCAGCCACAGGTGCCATCTGAGCCCAGGCCTGACTCAGCAGAGAGCAGTGGTGAGCTGGGGTGACCAGGTGGGAGCCCCAGGCGCTTATGGCTTCCCACAGCAGTGGGAGAGCACCCACTCCCCTCCCTCCTCCCCACCCAGGCTCCCTGCACCAAGGCTGCTGTGGGTCAAGAGAGGTGTCAGGGGAACAGGAGAGGGCCACAGGGGTGTCTGCAGCCTGGGAACGAGGAAGGGCTCTCCTTGCCTGTTTTGCCAATTATTAGGCCTAGCATAAAGATGGACCAATAACCAAATTGTATTTGATACAAAAGGGTCAGTACATGGGTGAGCGCTGGGGGTACAAACAAGTCAGTCAGATTATACATAGTCCACATCAATCCCACTGACCCCAACAACAACACTGCACAACCAACAATGGGTGGAATAATGGTGACGTGCAGTCTGCCATAGAAGGGATGGGAGACAACCGAGCCAACAAGCCAAACACATAAGACCAAGGAAGCCACACACTGAATCTCTACACAGCCACGTTTACAAAAGCCAGACCTGACTGGAGCCCGGTCCCAGGGAGGCGGGAGGTCCTTCCCCAACAGGGAACTCTGCACAGGGCATCCACCTCACAGACAGACACTGCCCCTGACTGCAAGGGGTCCCAGCTTTTATCCCTCAGTGGGACACCTGGCCTTGGGTTACTGAATGCAGACCCCTGGGGCTCCTTTACCCAATGGCTCTGTCTGCCAGGCCGGCACCACCCTGGAGGGAAGCCTAAAGGCAAACTCACCCCCCCTTGGTGAAGGACTGTGGGAATCACCTGTATGTCAACCTCAATTTGGGGCTTGGGGTTGAAACCCCAGCATTTCACTGCCTGGTTCAGATAAGCCTCCAGACCCTGAGACAGTCTCTGCCTGAGTGGAGGTTCCTGGGCTGGCTTTGAGAGACTTGCTTCTGCACAAATATCTTAGGTGCCCTTTCCTCACGCTGAACAGGGATGCTGTGTTTGCTCGGTGGCAGTCTGGTCAGCAGCACCCATGGGGTAAAACCCAAATATCCTCCTTCTTATGAGTAGAATAGAACAGTTCAGTTGGATGGGACCTACAACAATAATCTAGTCCAACTGCCTGACCACTTTACAGCTGACCAAACGTTAAAGCATGTTATGAAGTTTCCCCATTCAGAATTTTTTGTTTTACAGAGGCAGCTCCCAGAGGCCTCCTCTGCTATCACTGCTCTTCCAAAGCAGTCCCTGAGTGCAGCCTTGCAATATGCTTCAGCACCAGTTTGTCCTGTCCCTGCTAGCCCCTTCCCTGTCCTGTGTTAGCAGGAGCAGCAGTGGTATTTGCTTGTGTTGCTGCTTTTTCAGGCAGTGCCAGTTCCAATGCCCTGGCTCTGGGTGGGGGGTGTCTGTAAGGCTGCCAGGCTCTGGCCTTGCTGCTCCACAGCATTTCTAGGTTTGCGGGGTGATTATTGCACGGTGGTGGGGAGCAGATTCTAAGTGGTACCCAGGTCCTTTGACTTGTTTAGCATGCAAACATGCTTCTAGTTTGGTTAATTTATGCACTGGCTTTATAGACTATATAATATCTCCCGACAAACAGCAGGTGGCATGTTTGGATCGAAAATGTAAGTGCTCTGCCTCAGACTCCGGGGGGCAGGGGAAGATGCACTGGGACTGGGAGAGAACTAATACAGTAGAGATGCCCTTTCACTAATTTTCATCATGACGTCAAGCTGTCACTGAAAAGGTCAGTTCTGGCTGGACAGTCCTTCCTCTTGCACCTGATGGTCTGACAGGAGGGGATGGGTAGCGTTTCCCCCTGCAGAAGCCCAGGTGAAGGTGCTCATGCACCTCAGCTGGTGGGATGGAATGAGAATATGCTCATTTTGCCACTGGAATTTGCCCATGCTAACACACTGCTGTTGCTTTTAGACCTTTGGTGAGGTTTGGTGAAATGCTGCACAATGTACAGAAGGAAAGAACAATAGGATCCCAGAAGTAGACACTGGACTCTAATTACTTATGTGTTCTCATTTAAGTAATGAGTTGAATGCTGCATCCCCATATGCTTTGTGTACAGGGTGTGAGTTCACAGACATTTCAAGCTTCTGATTTCCCATGCAAGGAAGTAGTCTGCAGTTATCTCATTAATTAGAAAAAGAAGGGCCACTCAAAGCAAATCCCTGCCCTCTGGACAGGAGAAACAAAGTGGCTACAGAAATTTGATCTCATTCTTGTTGAAATAAACTCTGGGCTTATGCAACTGCATGATAAACAGCATGGTCTAGAGCAGGCTTTGCTTGGAAATACTACTTGCCATCACCCAGCCCTGAGACTGGTGCTCTCCTGCTCTGTCAACTCCTGCATCAGCCTTGGGTCCCCACAGAGTCATACTCATGTCCCTCAGGCCTGGTCAGCCCTATGCACAAAGTATTCACAAAGGACAGGAGGCTCAGCACAGCCATTTAAGCCTGGCATGGAGCAAAGCTCAAAAAAGGGACAGTATAGAAGTGATGGACAGGGGAATAAATGTACATTTTCTTCCTGAGAATCTGACTTGGCTTGGGGTATATGCAGGAGTTGATTTCAGTTGGACAGTCAAGGAGAGTTAGTTAATTCCTCAGGATTCCCAAGCACTCACATCTAAGCATGTGTAGAAATTATAAATATGTATCTAGAGAGATGTAATATATGTAGAGACATGTACATAATCTCAAAAAAGGGCAATACAGAAGTAACGGACCCAGAAGCAAATGAGTGTGTGTATATATATATATATATATATATGTATATACAGATACCTGTTTTCAACAACACCAAAGGGTCACTTGTCAAAACTGTTTAGACACCAAGCACTAATCAAGAGACATCACTGCTCCTGGCCAAAGAACTAGTCTGTTTGTGGTCAGGTTGGGCACTGGCCTATTTCCTGTTAGAGACAAGCAAAACAAACAGTCTACATGAGAGAAATTATTTCTACCTGCTGACAGCCAGCACGCAGTCTGCAAACAAAAGTATCTCCAAGTGTCTGCACTTATCCTATGGTTGGTGAGAAGAATAAGAGCGAAAGACAAATGTGCTGATGATTCCCTTTACTGTATTCCTTCTTCCTACCAGTGCTAAATCCTCCCCATGTTTCTGCAAACAAAAAGGATCTTTTGTAAAAAGATCCTTTGATCCTTCTGGGCATTTGCCTTTTCCTTATTCTCATCTCTAGATTTCCATACCTTGCATGTTTCCCTCCAAAGAAGAAAATGCAGAGGATGTATTGATTAATTTAGTTCTAAAAACCTGCATTTGTCTCATGATACTAAAGCCAAAGTCAGGCACCAAATTGCTGCTATAGCTACACAGATAACGCTGTGTAGCAGAGATGCTGCTTTCACCAGCAAAAAAAGGTTTTTTTCTGTTATAGATTTTCTAGGCTAAGGAAAATTAGCAATAGCAGCAACATTTTTATTTCCACGGTAGGACTCTATTATAAAAATCTCACCCTGAGAAAAGCTAAACCCACCTTCAGTGTTACTCTGTGAAACCTAGTGCAAAGGGAGGAGGGAGACAGGATCAAAAAGGGCAACTCTGGAGCTGTGTTTCCTTTGGGAAATTAAGTTTGGTGAGCAACGCTTCACAGCACATGACTGTGCCACCTTGTGGCTTTGGTTAGAGCTAAGCTCTAAAGTATTTATATTTTTTGACATAGATGTCTGCCTGTAAATGTCAGATCTAGTGAAACAGCAATAAAATGCCCAGTAGTACTGCCAGAAAGGCAGTAGGAGTCAAGATCAGCTCTAAAACCTTTATATTAGTTCTTCCTGCCATCCCATATTAGTCTGCCCATATGCCCAACTCAACCCACCAGCCTAAACGGAGGGGCAAACACTTGAAATGAGTAGCTGTCTGCTACACTGAAGGCAGAGCAGTTTATTCTTGGTGGTACTTAAACTGAAATCTTCAAGGTGAGAAAATCTTTGGTCACTGCAGCTGTTTTTTTAATAGAAGTCACCTGAAACTTTAGCACCTTGACAGCAGAAGCACCATCACAATCTTCTCTATGCTACTTTTACTCAAGCAAGTGCATCCCTGATGCCCAACTTGCTTGCACCAGCTGGATCCTGCTGCATCTGAGGAGGGCACAGATGGAGAGCTCTTGAAAGAAAAGGCCATCAGCTGTTTCAGTGGCCTTGAGCTTAAAAACTGGAGGGTCCCTAGGACCAAGCTTTGTGCACAGGGCAGGCTGCCTCTGTCCATCTCCATGTCAGATGGAGGAAAGGCCATCAGAAACACATAAGTGATGCAACCTGTAAAGTAAGATCACAGATCCGGATCAATCACAAATGAAGAAGAGCCCTAAGGTCTCTTGGCTTGCAGTGCTACCAAATGGTACTGAACACTCAAAGACCAGTCTCTTCTCTCTGAAATGTGCACTGGCTTGTCCTAAGTAGTGCTGACACACATAAGACTGCCAGGAGGAATTAAACTGCCATTAACTCCTTTTTTTGTTGTTTAGGTAACTAAGCAGCCAGATAGTGAGCAGAGGGCCTGGCTGCCCTTGGCAACTTCAATTACAGAGAGGGAAAGGTAGCAAAAAGGAAAAGCTGCAGCAAAAACAAGCAAACAAAATGACTCCTACACTTCCCTAAGAGGAGGAGGAAATTCTTCATTCGAATTAACTAACTTTAGGAGGAAGAAACCCCACATCAACAGATGCCACCAGGTGTCACAGCCAATGAGGAGAGAAGCTGTGCTCTGACCGTTGAATGTATCTGTCCCACTGCAGCTGAGACTTCAAAAGGTGATGTATGTCAGACCTCACATGTCTTGTGATGTTTAATGATTTACAAAATTTACTGATAAAACTTCCACTTTCAAGTAAGACTCCCACTGGCGCATGTTGACTTCACGCATCTGGTTTCCTCCTCCAGACTGAAAGCCATGCTGGTTTATCAAAGATCATTTGGAACCACGTGTGGGGTTTAAATCCCACCAGTGGACGCTCTCTGTGGTGATCACAAGTTTACTCCTGCTGCTTGTACCAACAGGAAATAGTCCTTCTAACAAGGTGGATGCAGCCTTGATGCAAAAGAAGAAACAATCTTGTTTCTGCATCAGGACTCTGGAGATTGGATTCCATTCCTGGTCTTCCTCTTTTACCTGATCTGGGGCAAATCACTGAACCTCTGTATACCTGTACACCTGCTGAACTACCACATTTGGTCCATGGATGATTGGTTGTAGATTTCTGGCCTAGATAGGTTTTGCCCTGTAACTTGATTTTTGTAAAAAAAAAAATCTGTTCTTTCCTACTCACATGTCTCATTCCCCTCCCTAGTCTTTTAAGTCACTTTTCTATCTCCAGGCATGGGTTTCATATACTATGATGCTAGAGATTTTTGAAATCCAAATCCAAATTCTCACCTCTGTAACTCAGGTATTGCTGACACAGAGACTTCACAAATATGTCATTTGTTGTTAGAACCTGTGAGAGGATACGAGCTATTTTTGCTACAGAATAAAGTTAATTGTGAGTGTTCTTTCAAAGATGAAGTCACTCTACTAAGAAACTCACTATCTAAATACATGCAACTTGCTGACATTATTATCTAGAATGTTAAATGCTTGTAAACAGATTTAAGTAAGTATTTTGGCTGTGTGATCCCAATCTTTGAAATGGGAGAAGTTATGTCTGTTGTAGCAGAACAATTCTGCCATAACTGCAGGCTTGTTCTCAGATGGATGTTATTTGCATATCCTGAGGGACTGTCTGCTTTCTCTAACCTTTGACTTACCTGACTGGTCTTTGAGGAACCTGTCTTATGGACACTCAGGGTCTTTCCTTAGCCTCTTTGATTTATGTCTTGTCCCTAGGCTTTGTTGCACAGTCAGTTCTCTTGTATTCCACAATTACAAACAAACAAAACTAATTATTCTCATAAATCCTTAATCTGTTTTCTAGTAAGTCAGAGACGCACTGAGAACTTTGGAAAATAGGTGATGTGTAAGACTGAGAACTCACTGTTACCTGTCAGACACAGAGTTTCAATCCCAATTCACTTACATTTACGTAAACATCACAGATAGACACTGGCTTTGCAACAAAGACAGAAAGCGGACCAATAAGCAAGAGGCCAGTTTTTATATACAATTTAAGCTGATTGTAACTGAACTGTTGTCACAATAAATGTGACAAATTGTTGATAATACTGAGGATTTCAGTCTTCTAGACACCCAAGATTAAGTTTTGGAAGATGGATGTTTCTGTGTTTCTGTTCATGCATGTGGTAGGAAAGTGTGAATTGTCTGATCTCTTCTTACATTACAGGCTACAGAATATCACCTCTGAAGAGAAAATACCGCAGAATAATTCTGTCTGGTTGTAAATCTTAATAAATAGAATTCAGCGGTTTCCTAAAGCCAAAGTGGTTGACGTAAGAATGGGGGAGAGAACATGCCACTCAACAAAAAAAACAAAAAAACCCAAAACCAACAACAACGAAAAAATCACTGATCTGTCTTCAGAAGAATTCAAAATGTTTGAAATAACTTTGAATGACACAGAACATATGGAGGAAGAGAAAATTCCTTTTAAAATGACTGTTACTTATTTAGCCAGAGGAATAACCTTTTAGCAAAACTGGAAGAAAAGATGCTGTACCTTGTACACCTACCCTCTCCCTTGTATTTTGAGCAAGCTGGAAAACCATTCTATGCCTCTTCAGGTCTTCCTTCCCCAACTTTAACTGCAATCATAAGCATTACTAAAGTTACAGCAAGGAAATCTAATCTTCTTCTGTAAGAGTGAGAAGCCTTGTCCCTACATCTGTTGCTGTCTTTACAATGCCTGACATCTGAGAAACACTTCTGGAATAAGACTGAAGATGGTGGTCCCAGGGGTCTTAAGCATTTCCTTGCTGGCTGCATCTCAGAAATCCAACAGGATCTGGAAATAAACTGGATTCTTCAAATGCTCAATTCACAAAACCTAGCCTTAGTTGTAGGTGAAAAAAACCCCACCCAACTTATAAAAAGAGACAAAACACTTGACCCAGTGAACATCATCTCCTGTGAGGACAGTGGGCTCCAGAATGCACATATTCCTCTATCATCACAAATTCCTGATTTTTCAGATCTGATTCTCCAAGCAGATCTATAAATAGAGAAGTGGGTTCCCATTGAGTCTAGCTTTCATTTTAAGTGTGCTGCCTGATCCTGTACAGACACAGCAATACAGTCTCTACGTTTTGGATTTTCAAACTTTGAGCTTTCCCTAACCCTGTTTAATTCTTCCTGAGGGATGAATGTTGTAATGGAGCAAACACAGGAAACATTGTTCTCCAGGAACTGAGTAGAACTGTGTGACAAACAGGTCCTCTGAATGCTTGCGTACCTCTTCTCTAAATTTCTACTTATTTCCTGATACACCTGCCAGAACTGCAAAAAGGGGTAAGGATGAAGCCTAGAGGCCATGAGATGCTCACCAACCTGCCAGGGTCCCTTGTCAGCCTTCCTGTAAGGTAGGATTAGTGTTCAGGTTAAGAAATGTAAAATTCCAGTTTATTGCTGGCTTCTGTAGCATATCAGGAGTTTAAAAAATCTTGAACTGAATGGAATCTATTTTCTTTTTCTTTTTTTGGGGGTTGGGTTTTTTTTGTTTGTTTTTTGTTTGTTTTGTTTTGGGTTTTTTTGTTGTTTTTTTTTTTTTTTTATAATCAATTCTCAACATTTAGGTTAGTGTAGGGCTAGGAAACTTAAAGCTTTGAGAGACCGGTTCCTTGCTGGTATCAGTCAGCACCCTTCCTGGTTCCAAAATCCTGCCAAATCAAACAAAAGGTTTATTATTTTAATCCCCAAACCTGCTCCCTTCCTTGTAATTATAGGCAAAGGATAGGCACCTGCTGTGCAAGAGAAGCTGAGGGCACAGTCTCACCTACACGAGCATTTTTCCCAACTCTAGCTCCAGGCAATATAACAACTGAACTCTTGCCACACTATTGTTCCAAATATATGGGATTTGTATGATAACCTACAATAGAAAAGAGAAGCTAAGGATACCAACCCTTCCTAATGCTGCAGGCTATGTATAATGTGGAAACTGACTTGTAACTTCTGGAGCCTGAGATTTTTAAATTCTAATTTGAATGCTTCTCAGTTCTAGTGGCTGACTATGTATAGCACAGTGCCTACAGTAAAATGAGCCTAAGCCCTAAATCTATTTCCCTACAACCTAGGAGGAATTCAGCGCTCTATGAGAAAGAGATAGAGACCATCTAATCAAACCTGTAATGATAGCCTAATGAACTAAATTCGAACACAAGAGAAAGCACTGGCATTGTTGTCATGAGTCCTTCTCAGACCTTTCTAGGCCATGCAAAGTTCAGTAACAAACATCACTCCTGAAGTAAAAGATTGTTAAAACTGTTGCAATTCCTTAAATCAGATTTATTGCCAAAGTAGCTATCCCTTCAGAAAACTGTAACAGAAGGCATTAGCCTCAATTAGGACAAGTCCAGATCCTGCCTTTGCAGGCTGTCCAGAACATATGTAAGCTGTTGGTATCCATCTTCCTATCCCCAAAGCCAACTAACTCTAGGCTCAAGCCTGCTATTCATGTAATTACAGACAGGAGTCCAATCACTAATTGTAAGAGGAAATTCAAGACCTTAGCCTGCCCCTGCCATCCCTCTTCTAGTTCTACTGTTCCATGAGGAATCCATCAAAAACCCAAACTGGGCAGACCCAAGTAAACTGCTTGTCCTAATCTTCACTGTAGCTATGATCTTAGCCAGCTGATCTGGCAATACCCCTTGCAGTTACTATCTTCATCTCATTGCTGCAATATATTCAGAGTCCAGTAATTAGCCTGGCTCATCAAGCCTTCATTTCCCAAACGCTAGCTTTGCCTCCAGTCTTAATTATAGGCAGGGGCTCTGTCTTACTGCCCAAACCCACAACAGCATTGGCTCCTGAGCACACCAACTCTCTTCCTATCTCTGCTTTCCAAACAGAGTCCAGCAACTACCTGGACTCTTTGGAGAAAGGTTGTGGTAGTGGGGCTCTGTGTTGCTAGCAGGGACATGGGCAGGCTGCTGTGCTCCGTCCGGCTTGAGGATGCCACAGCACACGTGTGCTCGCCTGCCTTCCCTCCACCCTGCTCTCCACAGCAGCATGATAGGGTACGCCACTACTCCCTGCACAGGTGGGGAAAAGGCAATGTACCTGGGGAATGCCCAGCCTAAAAAGCATCAGTGTCACATGAAGAGCTTTCTTCTCCCCATAGCTCTGTGTGGGCTTTATGGCAGCAGGTGGCCACAGCTGCTTCACTGTACTGACTCAGGCTGAGGTGGAGTTCCTTGTCCCCGCAGCCCCCTCCCAGGGCCGGGCTCTGTGGGGCAGCTGGAGAGGTGCTGATAACACCGCAGGGTGCTGGCTGCTGCCGGGCAGTGCTCGCCCAGCACCAGGGCTGTCTCTCCAACGCCCCCCCTCACCCGTGGGCTGGGGGCGGGCAAGATCCTGGGAGGGGACACAGCCAGGACAGCTGGCACAAAGTGACCAGAGGGATATTCTGTACTGTGTGATGTCTGCTCGGCCATAAAAGCTGAGAGAAAGGGGAGGAAGGGGAGGCAGCGTTCATTATTTACAACATTTGTTTTCCGGCTCACGTACTGAAGCCCTGCTTCCCGCGAAGTGGCTGGACATTGCCTGCTGAGGAAGTAGAGAATAAATCTCTTGTTTTCCTTTGCTTCCCCACATGACCTTTGTTTTCACTTTATTAAACTCCATTTATCTTGACTTACGAGTTCTTTCCCATCTTATTTTCTCCTCTCCCCCATCCAGCTGAGGAGGAGAGTGATAGAGCAGCTTGAT